TTCCCGGCGCCTGGGGCTGCCTTGCCTCCTGCCTGTGTGCGGTCTGACTGCACCGTCGTCTTGGGATGAAGTTTCTAAGTGTGTCAAAGCACAGGCCAAGTGCTTGGTGCGGCTCTAGGCGGGGGGAAAAATAAAAATCAGGGGGGGTCGTAAAATCATTCTCGCTCCTCTGGTGTGCTCTGAGCAACAGGCTTCTCTGTAGCATCCGTGTCCTGTTTGTGTGATAGAGGGTGGGGAAAACAGGTCCTTTTCCAGCTGCCCCTCCTGCGGGTGCGCGCTCTGGCTGGGCTTTTCCCCAGCACCCTGCACCTACAGCCTGGGAGGACTTTTCACCTTCCAGGGGCCAGAAGGGGAACCCAGAGCGCGTCACCGTTAAAGCTCCCCTGCGAGGATTTTGAGGTTCTCCCTTGCTTTCTCTTCCTCCAGATGACACCTTCGCTTTCTGGCGAAGCCTGAAGGACACAGGTCTCCTGGAAGAAGTAATCCATGAGTTCCACCAGGAGCTAGTGGAGACCATGAAGGGCTTGCAGCAGCGAGCACAGGATCCCCCGCTGCAGCTCGGGGGTAAGGACCTGGGCACGGGCGCTCAGAGGCGTCACGGGAGAGGGGCTTGTGGATTTTTTTTTCTCCTTGGAGATATATGGATGGCTCTCTAGGGACACAGTCCATCATAACTCAGTCCCATTTCTGGCTGCTCCCTGGGCAGGCTCTTGGCTCTGCTCAGGGACGCTTGAGGTGGCCTCAGTTCTCCAATTCCCTGTGCCTGGGGCTTCCTATCTGCTGGCTCTGGGTCTAGACAAGCGCTTGGCTTGGGAACTGAGGTGGAATTGAGGCCATCGGAATAACGATGCAGCAGCCGGCTACTGTGCCAGTGGATTTCATGTCACCCCTGCTAAGCAGGAGAGGACTGTTTGTACACCAGTGACCTCTTGCACTTTCTCATGACTTCTCCTGTCTCGTCCTCTTCCCCAGCCTCTTGCGTTGCTCTCCCACAGATTTTGGCCGTCTCAGCTGAACGTGTTTGCTGTCGTACGGCTTTTTACTCAGCCGTAAATACTTGGCGTAGGGAATTTTGCTTTCCTCAAAGATCTCCGTCTTGTTTTTCAGATGCTGTTTTACTCAACAACGTAGTCCAGAACTTCGGTATGCTGGATTTGGTCAAGAAGGTCCTGGCCAGCCACAAGTGTCAGATGGATCGCTCGAGGGAGCAGTACACGCGGGATTTGGCAGGTATGCCCGTGGGACACACCGGTGCTCCGGCACTTCTCATCGCTGCCAGCACGTTTTCTTTCTGTATAAGAAAGCGGGGTTTGTCTTAAAGCTGGTGCGCGCTAAACCAGCCGCGGTGGGACTGGCTGCTGCTGCTCCAGGCATTGCCACAGTCCCTGGGAAGTTTGTCCCAGCTCCGGGCTGAGCCGATGCTCTTCTTTCTCCAGCTCTGGAGCAGCAGTGTGACGAGCACCGCAAGCGAGCCAAGGAGCTGAAGCACAAATCGCAGCATCTCAACAACGTCCTGATGACCCTCACGCCCGTCTCCGTCCCCACGCCTTTAAAACGTCCCAGGCTGACCAGGGCCACCTCTGGACCAGCTGCCATCACCTCCCATCTCCTGTCCCAGCCAGCACAGCTCGCCGTCACCCCCGGCGTGCCCGTCTCCCAGCTTGCCAGCCTCCCTCTCGGCAAGGTGGTCTCAGCCCTCCCACCCTCAGTGCTGGGGAAGAGCCCGTCCCAGCCTCCCGCTGCCAGCTCCCCGGCCTCCCCGCTGCTGGGGGGGTACACGGTCCTGGCCTCCGCCGGCTCCACCTTCCCCGGTACGGTGGAGATCCACCCGGACGCTTCCAATCTGACGGTGCTGAGCACGGCCGCGGTCCAGGACGGCAGCACAGTTGTGAAGGTGGTGAGCCCCTTCCAGCTGCTGACGCTGCCGGGACTCGGCACGACCATCCAGAACGTAACGCAAATGGCTCCCGGCGGGAGCACAGTCGTGACCGTCCCATCCGGTGCCACCGAGGCCACCGGGGACGAGCACGCCGCCGCCGCCATAGAGGTGACCGCAGTGGCCGACGAGGCGGAGCAGAAGTGAAAGGGGGGACTTGCCTGGAGGGACGCTGGCCGTGCCGCTCTGGGTGGAACTGCCTTTTCTCTGGCTGCGCTGCGGGAAGAGGAGCAGTGTAATGAGGGGCACGGGTTAACGAGACTCGGGGCGGCGCACGTTGGTAACGAGGAGCAGGTTCAGGTCAGAGGGAAGGAGGGGGAGGAAAGCCGCTCGGAGAAGGGAAAGGCAAAAATGCCCTGCCGTGTTTGGAGGAGGAAAAAAAAAAGCTTAATTTTTTGTAAAGCTTTCCTCTCCCATTCTCTTGGAATAGCTACTCCGTTCCAGCCCGCACCCTGCCTCATCTGCAGGCGTAGCTGGAGCAGCACCCACCGGAGGAGCGGGCAGGAGCAGGGGCGCAGGGCAGGGAGGCGAGGGCTGTAGCGAAAGGAAAAGCAGGCGAAGTGCTGAGCAGGCACCGATCCGGCTGCCGAGGGGTCCGGCGTGAACAGACGGGAGGCGTCGGGGAGCCGGCTGCCCCGTGGTGGGGGGAGAGGGGATG